TTTAGTACGAACAAACACACACAAACATGTTTACAAATATGAAGACACACACATACATCTGAATGGTCGATAAAAAAACCTTGTGCATATGTCATGTTAACCACGTGGACCTGGATATACAGACCTGAATCTCTTAAAGTTACATTCGGAGCCTGACACTGTCGTCTCGGCCGTGATTTGCAGACTTGCAGCGTGTATGGAGAAACGTTTCTCGGGCTCAGTTCCCTCGTCCTAAAATCAATAGCCATGGACAGCTACAGGTAGGCTATGCACTATTCTGAAATAGAATTTTATTATCGAACATAATAGCCTGCATGTCAAAATGACGGAGTGTTTATTATAGCGTTTGTCATATTGTCATCGCCACAGAAAGACTTGTTCAATTAAAAACAGTCGCCATGGCAACTAGATGGTTATTAAAGAAACAGGGCAGAATTATTTTTGACGAACAGCTTTGTAGTGAGAAAGGATTGAAGACATTTCTGACAAAACGTTTCCTTTCTTAAATGTTTCATGATTTTGTAAATCAAATACGCCAAGGATGAATATGGCTGATTTTTTTGTTCGTGCTCAGCGCTCCAATCAGTGGCATTGTTGCATTGTTGTAGATCAAAAGACATTCTCATAATCATGGCATATGACTGTTGTCTACCAGTCGCTCCCATGTAATCCATAACCTAGCATGGTTTTATTTTTTTTTACATATCCAGACAGTGTATATAGGATCCATACTCGTTGTATCCATCTTCGACACAGTGGGACTTTCTTTAAACCAGCGTCGTATTGTGTGATCGATTTTTCAATAAAATAAAAACGTGAACTGTTGAACTCGATTGTTCTGTTATCATTTATATATATACGGTTATAGGTATGAACCTATTATTAAACATATATTGATAATCACGTACATATGTATAACATAATATTGACATGTTTGGAATACTGTAAGCATTGGCATATGTTACTTTCAAATATTGAACACGCATTATTTCCCGCACGTTTCACCGATGAGTTCGATACATTTACAACAGACAAATTACCGTAACCACACTTGAACAATTCACGTCTAAATGAACGAGTCTTATGCTTTAAATTAAATTGTATGTTAAACTCTGAAAGAGGATATTTTTATGAATACTTTGTCTACAACTAAATCGTGACTCGGTGAACTACATATTATCTATTTGACCATATTTTGTCATTAGTAGTTATAGAGCCATGAAAGAAACGAGAAGAATTAACACTTGTAACAGTACAGTGTAGTAGTAGAGTAAATATTATGTAGTGTCCATATTTCACTGACGATCTAAATTGTTGGGGTTCGGTAAAAGAGCTAATTAACTGTCATCATTTCCTTCACAGATTTTTAACATAAGCGACAAATCATAAAAACAAAACTAGCGGTAACTATGATGAAAAGTTCTTTTTACACAACCAGTACTATTTTCTATGTGACGTTTCGATGACTAGTACGATATGTACACTGTCACCTTCATCAGACAAAAACGGTAACTATGTATATTTACGGCGTAAATGTCAATCTTCATTTCGTATATATGCTGCGTCGTCGATGATCTGTTTTATCTAGTCAAGAACTGACCTGTGTTTTCACGAAGTGTTCATTTTCGTGTAAATTGGGATGTCTCCGGAATTCGGACATCAGAAAAAGTTATACCTTATATTGCCGGTTTCGAGAATTTAAACACTCGTGTATCAGTTGCTGAAAATTGATAATCATGAAGTTACTTGATATACAGAACATTTTAATTTCAAAATTTTGAAGAAAAATTTGTAAACGTTGTTTTACTTCAAATATTTCAAATATTTATTTATCTTTTTGTTTTTATGTAATGTATACGCATTATCCAGACATTATATAACTCATATGTTACGTAAGCTATTTGCATATTCGTGGCAAATTAATCGCATTTGGACATATTTTATACCCGATTTGTACGTAATGTTAATGTCTTATACATTGTATAATGATCGACAATAGATTTAATATGGATAATAGGACTTTAATATATCAATAGTTGTCATCGTTTGACAAAGTTAATTGATAGAAAATATTGCATGCTAACAATCTATTAACATACTGAGATATTTCGCATCAATCATATTTTCACAAAATCTTACAGAACACGATATCAAATTCTCATTGAATTGTTTTATAAGACAGTTTTTTTTAACTTGCTTGCTAAGAACACTCTACACTGGATGATACCTAATGAATTGTACCGATCCTACTAGTCAATCTTGTGGAAGTTCCTTCACTTGATGTGTATTGTCCTCGGGCTAATCAAAGGGAGCAATCGGTCTGGCATATTTGCTTTTAAGTATTCCTGTGAATACCTGCATGACCACAGCAACAAAATCTGTAATAACGGGTGCGGGAGTTCTGGGTCAATGGCACAGTCGATACCTTGTAACAATTTCATCGTCTTTCATGTGTTCTTCGTGTCTAAGTAAGCAGAGAAGACACGGCCGGGTTTATTGCCCAGGCCTAATCTAGTAGAAAGGCTCTATTGGTGTTGATTCTCCTGATAAAGCCTGGTGTCATCAACGTCTTGCCTGCCTTTTACACATAAAACAAGACCTGTGTATTGATATGACAATGGAGCCGAGCGCTGACAGCCTAATCCACGATGAGGAGACCAGTGTATTAAGGGCGATCAATACCGCAGTGCATTAACTTTTTCAAATTGATTATCAGCCCCAATAAAGTTTTCTAAAAGTCATCATCGCCTATTGCTTCATTTAATTTATTTAGATCTATTGATTGACAAGAAGAAGAAACTTTTTCTAAAAGTCTTTACAGAGGATTGCTTTGCTTCATTTATTCAGATCTATTTATCGATTACAACGAGACCTTTTTTTCTAAAGTAATCATAGACGATGACTACACTTAAGATATTTCGATATATCGATTAGCAATTTTATATTATATTTTCCCGTTTTATTTTTCTTGCGTCGTAAATGAGACAGAAATATGTTAACTTTGATTTTAATGTTTTAATCCATTTCTGACTGGCAGGCTGCAGTGAGTTGTGTATCGAGAAGAAAGGTTATTGACCAGTGTTACATTAGGCGGGGACGTGGTCATACTTACATTGAAGGTAGCATAAAGGGCACGTGGTGTTCCCTAATGGAAATCTACAATAACGTCAAGGGGTACTCGGGTGGATAAGGGTCATCCCTGACACAAAGTTACGCAAATATTTGTGTAAAATGAATGATTTTTTACGCTTCCACTTGATAATCTCAAAATCTGAACTCAAAATATTTCATGCAATAGTAATGCATAATTGGTTTAAAAGGATACTCAACTTGAGTTGAGTCTTTTATCATAAATGCAAAGAAATTGTAAGCATAGAATTGTTTGAATAATATTAGGCTATTATATTTGACAACCCGTCTAATTTTCATGTTTTTGAAAAAAAGTATATTGTAACATTGCGAAGTACAAGAGAGTTTAGAATTTATTTTGACGTCTTGGATTGAAGCTGCTGGTCTCTTTTCTGATTTGAATGATCATATACTGAAAAGTCATTATTTTTTGTGGGTATGTATTTTTTCGATGGTATTATTGAAAAAGAAATATACCTTTACGTAAACCAATCCGTTGTTTAAGTATCTTTGAATAGGTAATCCTGAAATAGTTGAAATGTCGGTAGCAAATTCTTATCTCGCCAAATGTACGTAATTTTACGTATGACTTGTCTAAAAGACAAGATGTCTGCAAAAGTTAAAGGAAGAGAGATATGCTCTTACATCTGTTGTTTGGGGAGATATAGTACCATGCAAGCACACTACACCTGATTATAAACACAGATCGGATTTGTTTTGCCATATTTCATGAGAACGTGTGTCTGACCGAGAAAGTGTGTGTGATTGTAAATATCCTAATCCGGGTACAAAAGCATGTATGATCGCTTGTTGGTGTCATTTGCAGTTGTCTGATTTATGACCCATTGTCCATGCAGTCACACCAACAGCTTGTCCTGTGGCTATGAGAGAGACTCGTTACTTACCGAGAGTAGGGACAGCCCACACATAGGTAGTGTTCTGCCGGGTCATCCCTCGGTAAACAGCAACAGGGCCGGCATGATATTTTAGAATAATCACAACAGCACGTAACACTATGCGGGTCGTTTTGATCAGGGTACATTTGCTGACACAGAGACGGGGCATTAAGGCATTAAGACTCGGTCGTATGTACAATAAAACATTGTCATAATTTAGGTGTCAACTTTATCTCTGTTATAGAATATGGGAGGAGGGATATACATTATTTGCAAAACTATGTCTACCTAAAGCAAAGAAAATATAGTTTATGCATTAGCACTCAAAAGTGGATGATTATAGGGGATGTACATTGACAACAAAAGATACAATGTACCATAATGGTTTTGAAATGTATTTTAGGTTTTGAAGACTACTTTTGGTTTAAAAAGTATTTTGATCCAATTTTTACATAAATATAGCAATAACACCGTTTAACTCATTCACCCCTGAAATTTCACAATGAACTATTCCAACCTTTGAATTGGAAGAGTTCAAATGTGTATTCAGGGGTGAATGAGTTATTAGTCTACAAGAAGCTTTTAATTGAATTTTTTGTTTGCTTTTCACCGAGTTATTAGTTCGGGTTTCCTTCAGATTTTTTTTTAGTTGTTTATTGTTGGTTTAATACATATGCATGTAGGTTACAACTCGATACATAAAAAGCTGATACACAAGAAAATAAGGCACTCTTTCTATACAACGTTAAAAACTATACTTTCATTGAGGGCGAGATTTAGGAGATAAGGAATGCCCACGTGTAATCAACACAATTGGACATTTCTTGTTAAAAACCAATGGAACATAATGGGTAGGACCGCTGTGTATAAATTGAGTTGGAAAAATAAAGCATAGTTTCTAGTATTTTATACTGAATGAAAAAAAAAAAGAAACTGGACAGCAATGTTAAGATTTTATTTTATATTTCCCTGTAGATGTCGGTGACAGTATGATCGAGGTAGTCGGGCTGGAGAACAGTATGCACATGGGTCAGGTGGTTGCCGGACTTCGAGCCTCGGGTCGGCGACTTGCTCAGTGTGGACAGGTTGTGATCAGGTAAGGAGGCTTTCTACAATCAATTCTGCTCGGGAGCCCACCTCTTTAACCAAGTCATCTGTGTTAAGATACCACTTTTAAAACTCCTCAGTTTTCATGTGAAATTGTAATATTATGAGAGAACCATCTCTTTGGCACAATTTTATGGTAATGATATTAAGTAATATATTAACTGTAACATAAAAACCGATACTTCAATATACATGAACTATATATGCAAAAATAATTTATTTTGCTATCATTTATCATTCATCATGAGGTTAGGAATTCTACAGAGTCGACTGCCAATAGGTAAATAACGAATGTGACTGGAATTTCCATTTTATCAGGAATAATAACCCTTGTTTTTAATTTAAGTTTCATATCAAGCACACACACTTGATAAATAAGTAGGGCATGGATTATAAAAGAATTAATTTATATTTGTTTTATTTCAGAACGAGGAAACGATTTCCCATGCAAATAGATGGCGAACCCTGGCTACAACCTCCGTGCACGGTAAGTAATTACGAGGCATCCTTATATTACCTTACAAGGCGGAGTATAACATTCTTTGAAAATATCAAAATTGTATGGAAAATATTTATTTCGAATTTACAGTTGAGAAATTATTCCCACCAGTACATAAAACGGGAAACTCGTATGCCGGAGCCACCAGATTAGATATAAACGCTGGACTATAGTTTGAGGAAACCAGGCTCATAAAAATGCCATTTCGACCTACAGCATTGCTGATGCAGATTATGGGTACTCTGCTACGTCCAGTTTTATATAATATGTTCATTTTTGTTTTATTTTTAAGTTTCAGAGGTAAACATATATACTGTTAATAATCTAGGTTATAATATATGACAGGATGTGAACTATTAATGGCCATTAATTTCCACAGTAAAGCAATTAATTGGCATTGATATATTTTTTCTTAAAATTCGAAATGAATGTAACAGGTTGTGAAATATTAATGGCCATTAATTTTCACAATCAAATAAAAAATCAAATCAATTATATGCAAACTTTTGTCTTTTGAAATGTGAAAAAAAAAAAATTGCCATTAAATTTATTTTACATTAATGGGGGACCCAAATACTAATGGCAATTAATCATGGAGAAAACAAACATGAATGGCCAGTAATGGAAATCCCCAGCTTTCAATTAACAGGTTTATTGGGTTTTAATGGGAAATTAATGGGAACTTAATGGCATTTTAGTTGAATCTGCATACAGTAGTGATGGTTGCATGAATAATAACATTTCTGAAATTAGAATTACAGAACAATTGTAAGATAAATGACGGTTTACCCACCTGTCCTGGTGGTGTCTCTGACCGCACGAAGGGCCAAGTGAGCTTATGGTATGGTGCGGCGTCTGTCCGGCGTCTGTCATCCGGCATCCGGCGTCAATATTTTACTTTAAATAACTTCTCCTTAATAAAAACAAGGCCTAGGGTGATGATATTTGGCCAGAAGCAAACTCCGATGAAGGGCTACCAAGTTTGTTCAAATAAATGTCCTTTACCTACTTTCAAGGTCACAGGGGTCAAATATATTAAAATCTTCAAACGACTTCTTCTCAATAATCAAAAGGCACTGGGTACTGATATTGGGCCTGTAGCATGCTGGGATGAAGGGCTACCAAGTTTCTTCAAATAAATGACCTTGACCCACTTTCAGGGTCACAGGGGTAAAATGTCGTAAAATGTTCAAACAACTTCTTCTCAATAACCAAAAGGCCCAGGGTACTGACATTGGGCCTGTAGCATGCTTGGATGAAGGGCTACCAAGGTTGTTCAAATGAATGACCTTGACCCACTTTCAACCTAATGTCCTTGTTCGACATTCAAGGTCACAGGCGTTATAGGTTTAAATCTTAAAATAGGTTCTTATGAATCAAACACTAAAATTCTGCCTGTAGCTGTATTTTAGTCCACTTTTGAGATTACAGGTGTGAGATTAATACCAGGTGAGCGATGCAGGCCCATTGGGCCTCGTGTTATTTCTATTTTATTTTACATAGTCCGTATGGACATATGTTTTTGGTAAATAGTTCTTAAGAGATCAGATTTCATGAAAATCCACTGTTTCTCAGCCAGAGTCTCTGCTTCTTTATCATCAGCGGTCTGAAATGCTAGATTAGAAAAAATCCTAATTTGGATCGGTGTAGCACATTGTAAAATCTTAATTTGGATCGGTGTAGCACATCGTAAAATCTTAATTTGGATCGGTGTAGCACATCGTAAAATCTTAATTTGGATCGGTGTAGCACATTGTAAAATCTTAATTTGGATAGGTGTAGCACATCGTAAAATCTTAATTTGGATCGGTGTAGCACATCGTAAAATCTTAATTTGGATCGGTGTAGCACATCGTATGTAAATGTTAACATTTTTACTGACATTTCTTTTATCACCATATCAGGTAGGTTTATGATGTTGCTTAAATAGTATATTTCTCCTGTATTTGATATTCCAGATAAACATCACTCATAAAAACCAAGTCCCAATGATGATGGGTCCCGCTTCCAACAAAAAGTCTTCACTTTTCAAAATGTTCAAGAAATAAAGGTAACCATTACTCCTTGTACAAAGATTACCATTGCTTTGTCTTATACAATGTATAAAGATAACCATATATCGGCGCAATATACAAGTCTTAACATGATAGAATTTGGATGGTGCTTACTTAAATTAAAGTGTAATTTAAAGAGTTTCATTGAAATTGATCATGAACTGGTTAAATTTGATGTAATTATGCAAATATATTATTTGACATTAAATAATTATATTTAAAAGCTGAAAAATGAAGTGAAACAAAACATGCTTAATGTCTTTAGTAACGTTTACAAAACTCAAAAATTACATTGCAGTTGAAGATTTGATTGAAACATGTGAAAGTATGGGAAAATTCAAATGTTAATAACTGTGAATTTGATTCAATACTGTAGTTATTCTGTACAATTCATCTGTAAGGGTTGATGTATTTATTGTCTATGTTTCTAATGTGTTCAATAACAATCGAGAAAATTCTTATTCCCGAAAATAGCACATGATAAATATGTGATTAATATATTCACATCGATATATCCGTTAAATTTCCTTCATCAGAATACCACCTGCTTTATGTATTGTAATACATAATACCATAAAGAGCGAACTTGCGAAATATTTGCGTTACTGATTTTCTTTCTGTTACAGAAAACCTACTCAGTATAACCGTACAGAACGGAGCACACCAATAAAACTATGGCAGCAGTATTTATTTTGTCGACCGTCAGAAGCCTGATGCTTCTCCAGTGTCCAGCCTGTGGCTGCTCTCATAATTCATCGTCCGGCCAGTGGTCACTCTACCGAACCGTCGTGGCCACTGCCCCCCAGTGGCCATACCATAACTCCATCGTCCAGTCAATGGTCACTCTACCTCAGGTGATCATTTCCGTTACTATTGCGTCAGGCAGACGTGTCCGAACTCGCCTGTAAGCTGTTGTAGAACCTGGTCACTATGCCTCAGTTGTCAGTTGATCTGGCCTGAACTTTGACCACTCTTCCATCGTGCTCATTTACCTCAGCGGTCACTGCCCCACAGTGACCTTAAAACACCCTCTCCATCCTTCAGTTAGTGCATGGTCTCAACAGAGCATGACCATGTCATCTCGACAATGTTCCGTTCCGAAAATCTCAATACAATGTGTTTCCCAATATTGCAGCCACGCGAATCCGGAAGCCACACTTACTAACACTTACCATAGGCCTTGCGGTGACCACAGAGTTTAGTTGACATTTTTAATACAAAATTCCTGCCGTATGGTGGAACGTACATGCCCTTGGCAAAGTAAATGTTCTGTTTGACCAGTACTGGTGTTGTGATATATTAAAGTACCAGCATCGACTAACATTTCCTGCACCACCTTCGAGACTCTCATTCTAAAAAGACATGATTCACCCCTCCCATATATACCTACACGTCATCCCACATGTACCTATCCTATGACAACCATTCCCAAAAATATAGTGGATCGGGGTTATATTTCTATCATTTCTCCTTGTTTGCGTACGTGTGATACGAATTAGATTTTCCCCATATGAAGTGGTATCCCTTAGAATTCCTGGTGACAAATTGGAATCGGTGACTTCATCCGAGTTCGAGTTCAACAACCGTCATTATTTGTAAATAAGACTCCCAAATTTTATGGTGAAAAGTAAATCGGATGTTATCATGATGTTTCCCTGGAAAGCGAACAGTCTTTATATTTATCATCAGAACTGATTATCGTTCGGAGTACAGTTCAATCTGTTGAACAAAGGATCACTGACAAGTTATTGTCCTTTGTAATCAAAGATACCAGAGTCTGTAAATAGCTTTGATCAAAATATAAGAGAGCTCCCTTATCCAGCTTCATAGAAGATTTCAACTGCCCATATATAGGCATATACCCCAAAGGATAGAGGAAGTCCACTTATCAAAAACCATAGAAGGATAAATCAAGGAGCGACATCTAATTCCGTCTTTGCGTATTGCAGAGTTATCTTCTCTTGGGAGCAGGTGTTGATTGTTACGTCACTTGTTTGTGAGAGTAACGTCATCAATTTTTGAGAAAACGTCGTAATTTTCTCACACAAACCAATGACGTAACAATCAATCCCTGCTCTCAAGAGAAGATAACTCTGCAATACGCAAAGACGGAATACAAACGCAACGGATATATTGCTTGTCTTTTCCAATACAATAGGATATCGGGATTACGGTTATCTAAATCCGAAGGATAAAGGGCAAGTCATTATCTTTAATTGTTGTTCTAAACCTCCTAGTAGTTATTTCCTTTTCTTTGGTTTCCAATTGCAATGGAGATGTCCAGAAAATGTCTTCGACAATGCAATATTGATAAGCATGACCATGCATAGATAATAAAAACAGTTTATTACATTAACTTTCAAATCTAAACCCTCATATTTAATGTTTTTGTTTGGACTTTTTTGGAAATTTTTGAAACACACCAATTCGCTCATATTTTATTTGTGGTCTGTATTCGGAATTTACTGAAAGCATCTAGATTTATTGAAAGAATGTACCCCACTGCGCCAGAATGTACCCCACTGCGCCAGAATGTACCCCCACTGCGCCAGGAGTATCAGGATTTATATCGTTCATGTTTGCTTATATTTATGGTTAAAAACCTGCCACTTGCTTAATTGATGATTGAAAAATACAACCTAATCGGCCTTATTGCAACTTCCCATTTAAATTTGATTTGCGACTTTCTACTTGTTAACAAATCCACCTTTGTGTCATACGTATATGTCCACTGGGCTCTCTAACTTTAAATCGGCTTCAGTTGTTTTATTTCGAGGAGATTTGCTTCACTACAGTGAAGCTATGATGAACAGTGTTCGGAATTTAACGATATTATGGAGAACCAGAAAAAATATATCGGGAGATCGACCTCTTCTTCTTCCTAGTGTCCCATCTCAAAATACAGGATTTTCCCACCGACCTTAGTTTAACCTTTACTCAAACATGTCCTCTGCTGTCGTCATGTTCAATGAGGAATTCAGTGCAGAGATGTGTTTGTTGACTTACAAATGCTTTTGTAATTGACTGAAAATGCTGGGACACCGGACTGCAAGTCAAAGTACCTGAAGTTTCCTGAACTTCTAGATCTGATGTCAACGCTATAAAGCTCTGTCCACCGATTATCAAGTTTGCGAATATATATCTTTACGTACTATTAATGAAGCAGTACACATTTTCTACAAGACCACTTCACGGCTGAATATGCGTTTACTCTGCTGTGGGCCGGTAAAAACCAAAGACATTGCTCAAGTTAACCGTGTGGCCCCTACGTTCAATGAATGGAATCAACCGTCCGTCGACATGGATACTACAACAAGTGGTCTTTAGGGGTGATTTTTAGTATAGTAAAAACTGAACACAACAAGCCTTTGTGTTTCTCGCTCATCATGTTGCTTTAAATTTGTGGGGGGGGGGGGGGGGGGGGGAAATATTAGACAAATAGATATGTTTAGAATAGTGTTGTGTGGTGAACACAACATCCAAGTAGTGTGAAACCATAGATTAGGAATAGGTAGAATGTGGGTGAATGGTAATTAAGGGCTGCAGAGGGTCAGTCAACACAGGGGGTGAGGTATTTAGAATCAAGTTGACTTATGTATTTTTGTAATATTTGTTCTGATATTGCTCTGGTTGATTAAATGTTCACATATTCATGGGTTGATCGATTTTGCCGCCGTCAAATTTTCTGTTTGTTTCAAATTTCAGAGTTTTTTGGGCTGGGAATTGATTTTAAACATAAACGAAAGCTACGGAGAGAGACCCTTTGAATTATGGTCAAGATAGGACATTCTTGTTTAGTTTTTAGCTAAAAATAAGCATTATGATACCAAGTCTGGTGCGAGAGGTCCAGTCAAGTATTACCAAGGGTCACTGGATCACTCTTTTTATACTTTTTATATACGATACAATGCCTCCATTAATGAATGCACAATTGTAGACAAGTTTTAGCGTCGGCAGACTCTGGAAAAGTTGATAATATTCATAACGTCTTGTGTTTAAATTGTGAACAGGAGGTATGTATTGACCAAAGTGTTCATTTTAAAAAATTACGGTAAACATCCTTGAATTTCTGTAAGATATGTACGTGGTTGTCCTATAACAGTTGTCTTATCTCAGTTATCTCAAAAATTAATTATTACTTCAAAATTAGGGTTGAATGAATGCTGATGGTGTTTTTAATGATAACGAAATTCAAGCATATTTACCGAAACCATTTTTTCGTTTTCATTTCTACAGAGATATTGTGCTTTGTGTGATTACTGATGTGTTATATATTATATATATATAAACTGTTGTATTATCTATATACATATATAAAGTATATAATCTATATATCTATATCTACCAATGTATATACTACATCTTTGTTTTATTAAATGTTAGACGTTTGCTTTACTATACTTTTATCCTTAAATGTGAGAACAACTTTCAGTATTTAATAGTGATTTAACCGAAAATCCTGTTATTATATTACCATGGTGTATTTCCAACAAAATACTATCGCAAACAAAGGCGTGTCAACTTGTTTATGTTTTCAGACACCTCGCTACATTATTCTTGTGCCGACCGACTTTATTTTAATTGTGATGATCTAATTGAAAATGATGTTATATATATTACCTATAAACTCTACAGCTGTAAATTAAAGATGTAGGGTAGTATGGGGAATAGCCTATCAAATGAGTGAACCGAACGCCCTGAAAGTCGTTGAATAATAAAGGAATATCATGATCATGGTTCATAACACTTAACAGATTGGAGGATAATTTCTTGTATATTCAAACACTTGAAAGGTGATATATTTGGATATAGCGACAATCCGAAATTTCTAAGGGTTATTAAGGAATACGTGAAGAATGTTAGTACAACATTTCGAGAGGACTTGAAGAAATCTTAATATTATTAGAAAAATTAATAGTATTTATTGTTTTGATTATGATTTTAGCAATATCCGGGAGATATTGCAAATCTTGATTTCGTTTTTAGTTCAGTATTTTGCGGATTTTATCAATTAATTTGCATTCAGCAGAACCATTGGGGGGTTTTGCCTATATTGTGATGAACTCCTTTACTAAAATGTCATACATTCATAGGTAGTTTGCGAAAGAAAAACGACGAAATTTAGTTCTACGACACAGTTGTTTGCGACATATACTTCAGATTGTTCGATATCAGTGACAGCTTACAGAGGTGTTACCGTGACTTTGTGTATCTGTTCTAAAAAAAAAAACTGTTGAAATTCATAAATAGGGTGTCATTTATGGGAATTAAAAATAGCCATTTTGTTGTTAAGAAACATGGGAAACTGTTAGTTGAATTCTTGTATGAACGATACGCTTTATAACAGACAGCTTCTGCAAAGTCGCGTTTTAATGTCAGATGGATCCAGCAGACGTTTTATCATATGATTCGTCGCAAACAATACTGTAATTACCTATGGTTAGTTAGAGCATTCAAGTTTTGTATGCTTTCTCTACACATATCGGTCACTCAAAACATGTTTACTTTGTCTTTGGTCTTATGAAATTCGACCAAATGGTATAAAAACATTAATGAGAAAACATATGGGCTCAACATTATATTAATACATGTATAAGATATGTTCGAACGGTGCAATAACTAATCATGAATTATTTGACGTGTTTTTTTTAAAATGTGGAGTAATTGCACTTCTTCCTTTATCTTTTGAATCACATTTTAATCGGAATGTTTTATTATTTTTCTTACTTATTTTAATCTAAGCAGAAAGAGTGTCATTAGAAAGATTAACGATAATGTATACTGTGTCTAAGAAAACCTCTTAATTTGGATGCTGGCACACATTTTAAGTCACTTTCGTCTTGATAGAATGACATTTTAGAACATTTATTTTAAATTAGCTGTTCTTTTGACACTGCACAATGATTATTCGTCGTTATAACTGAAAGAAAGTTATATATATATATATATACAGGTTTTGTTTGGTTGTTTCTCCGTTTGTCATAAAAAAAAAACATGGTGATGTCATACACCATTGATAGTGACATCACACACTATTTATAATGATTCATACAAACATCTTAGTAACGTTATACACCATGGAATGTGACGTCATGCATAGTTGCTGGGAAACACGAATGTCATTGTGTGCATGCGGGAAGGAATTCGAGGCGTATGTGTCGGGATACTCAACGTGGAGGTGTATTATTTACATGTTACACTTATAAGTATGTATAAGACATGTGTCTTGTGCGATGAGACGAGGCAAGAGACACATAAACACACCTTAGTTTGGCACCAATACTATTATATACGTGTAACGATGATGGCTATCTCGATAAAGGTTTGAAATCCGCTGTTTTTTCTCACAGTATTTGTTTGCTATAACTGCCAAACGATTTTATTATGAGTGTTCCTCTAGATATGAACAGTTTAATCATGATTATATCTATATATATATATAGAGTTTAATCATGATTGTACCAATCTATATATATATATATATACAGTGTAATGATTTCGTACCTATTGATATAAACGGTCTAATCGTAATTTTATCTTAAGATATCCAATGTTCATTCATGATTATATCTATAGATATCAACACTTTAATCATGATTTACCAAAGTACTGAAAAGCATTAAACAAAAGGGACGCCTGCCCCAACTTCAGTTATCAGCAAAATTAATAAAGCATCTCGCGTTGTCCTTGATAAGTAGGAAGCTTAAGTAAATGATTTCGCATTATAGTAGGCTAAAGGGACAACGTACGCCATTTTCTCCACAGAACACACGAAAGCTTTCAATATTATAGAGAAATTATTTTTCTATCAAAAATATACATTTACTTTAATATCCTTCAAAAAAAATGTGTTTATCAAGTCTAAATAATGATAAGATGCATGGGGGAGGTCCTTGATGCTTTACAAATAACTATGAAACTGTTTGAAATTGAATTGAAAGGTAACGTTACACTGTTCTTCCATTTGCAAGACACGGGTTTGGTTTTTTTTTAATTGTC